GTTGTGCAGGGCCTGTTGGGCAGTAGGAAGGACTAGGGCTTTGACCCCAAGGCAGATGGGAGCCATGGCGGGCTGCAGGCAGAGGGACGGGCCCTGATTGAGGTGCTCACAGGCGCCCTCTGGTGGCTGCTGTGGGAAGGACAGATTGTGCGGGCCAGGGATGGAGCCAGGGCTCAGGATGGGGGGGACCCAGCTGGCAACAATGGGGGTGATCCATGTATTGGCAGAGGAGGGGGAAGGAGGGGTCAGATTTTTGCCGAAGTGTGAAGGTGCAGCCACAGGACTACAGGACAGGTGGGAGGTGGGACGGGGGGGGTGGAGCAGGAAGGAGCTGGCAGTCTTCCCCCCCCTCGCCCCCGCCCCGCCTCCACTCACTGATGTGCTCTGCTATGAAAGGCACGAAGCTGCTGCAGGAGCCCCAGGGGTGGACGGCAGTGACATTCAGCACGTAGGGCGCTGTGGAGAACAGCTGGACATCCGCAATGGTGCAGCTGGTGGCCTCTGGCGTCCGCTGCAGGCAGGGCCGGCTGTGGCCCCGGGCAGCCATGCCGAGCCTGTACAGGGTAGGGCAGGCTGAGCGCCTCCGGGAGCACCTGTGGCCTCAGCATCTCCTGCTGCCGGCCTGACCCAAGACCCCAAGGAGAGGCAGGAACAGACAGGGCAGCAGGTGGGGATCCCGGGGTGTGGTGCTGGTGGTGGCCGTGCCACCCCTTACCCGGGGGCGGGATATGGACCCCAACATCACAGAGTGCCTGATGGCTCAGGTCGGGGATTACAACCCCAGCTAGATGCTAGGGTCCTGGAGTCTAAATGTTTCTGGGATGTCAGCATTCCAACATTCATTCATTCATGAATGAATGAAAGGGTCTTCCTCTGGCACCCAGGCTGGAGTGCAGTGGCATCATCCTAGCTTATCATAGCCTTGAACTCCTGGCTCAAGGGATCTTTGCGTCTCAGCCTCCACAGCAGGTGGGACTACAGGGGTGCCTCCCCACTCCTGGCTAATTTGTAAAATTTTTTTTCTAGAGACAGGGTCCCAGTATGTTGGCCCAGGCTGGTCTCAAACTTCTGGGCTCAAGTGATCCTCTCACCTTGGTCCCCCAAGTAGCTGGGACTACGGATGTGTGCCACCACATCTGGATAATTTTTTTTGATTTTTAGTAGAAACAGGATATTGCTATGCTGCCCAGCCTGGTCTAAAACTCCTGGGCCCAAGTGATCCTCCTACCTCAGCCTCCAGAGTAGCTGGAACTACAGGCAAGTACCAACACGCCCAGCTAATTTTAAAAATTTTTTGTAGAGACGGGGGTCTCACTATGTTGCCCAACTGGGCCTCAAACTCCTGACGTCAAGCGATCCTCCCCGTTCAGTCTCCCAAAGCAGTGTGATTATAGGCATGCGCCACTGTGCCCAGCCCAGGAAGTTTTTTTTTTTTTTTTTTTTTGAGATGGAATCTCTGTTTCCCAAGCTGGAGTGCGGTGGTGCCATCTCGGCTCACCGAAACCTCTGCCTCCTGGTTTCAAGCAATTCTTCTGCCTCAGCCACCTGAGTAGCTGGGATTACAGGTGCATGCCACCATGCCCCACTAATTTTTTTGTATTTTTAGTAGAGACAGGGTTTTCACCATGTTGGCCAGGCTGGTTTCGAACTCCTGACCTCAAGTGATCCACCCACCTAGGCCTATAATCTACCCCCCCCCAATCTAGCAGGGATTATAGACGTGAGCCACTACACCCAGCCAATTTTTAAAATTGTTTGTAAAGACAGGGTCTCATTATGTTGCCCAAGCTGATCTCAAATTCCTGACCTCAAGCAATCTACCCTCCTGAGCCTCCCAAAGCACTGGGGTTACAGGCATGCGCCCCTGTGCCCAGCCCAGGAGGTGTATTTCTGTTGGACAGGGCTGCCCTAGAATTCCATAGGCCTGGGTTTCAGAATATCTGGGTTTCCAATTTTCCTGATCCAGGGCTCTCGGGGCCAGAGTTCTGGGCTCTTCAGGAAGTCCAGTGTCCCCAAGGTCCCCTTCCAGTCTCTCTGACCTGTACGTGGCAATGAATGACACAGGCCTGGTGGAGTTTGGAGCAGGTGGCAGGGTCCAGGAGCAATCCACAGCAATCGGGTACCGAGGGGCTCGGCATTGCACCTGGGGTAAGGTCGGAGCTGCTGGGGGCCCTGGAGAAGGACAGAAAGAGTGAGCTTGTGGTTTACCCCAGACTGTCACAGCCTTCCTGTGCGCTGGACTCCTGACGTGCTGCCAGCCAGCACCAGGCACATGGTAGGTGCCTAATAAAGGCTTGTAGAATAAATAAATAAATAGGTACATGGACAAAACGCATCGATGTCATCTTTTATCCCCACTACAATGCATCAAGGTGAGAACTATTAGCCTATTTTCCAGATACGGAAGCTGAATCTACAGAGAGGAACTTGGGTAAGAGGGAGAGGTTTCACTGTGTTCTCTTTTTTGTAATTTTTTTTTTTTAGAGGGAGTCTTGCCCGCTCGCCTAGGCTGGAGTGCATTGGCGTGATCTGAGCTCACCGCAACCTCCGCCTCCAGCATTCAAACGATTCTTACTCTCCCAAGTTTTTGGGATTACAGGTGTGCACCGCCATGCCCCGCTGATTTTTGTATTTTTAGTAGAGATAGGGTTTCGCCGTGTTGGCCAGGCTGGCCCCAAAGTCCTGACCTCAGGTGATCTGCCTCCCTTGGCCTCCCAAAGTGCCAGGATTACAGGTGTGAGCCACCAAACCTGGCCTATAATTTTTTTGTTTTTTGTTTTTGGAGACAAGGTATCCCACTCTGTCACCCAGGCTAGAGTGCAGTGGCACAGTCATAGCTCACTGCAGCCTCCAATTCCTGGGCTCAAGTAATCCTCCCACCTTAGCCTCCCAGTTAGCTCATTTTTAAATATTTTGTTTTATTTTATTTTATTTTTTTTGAGACGGAGTTTCACTCTTGTTACCCAGGCTGGAGTGCAATGGTGTGATCTCGGCTCACCGCAACCTCCGCCTCCCGGGTTCAGGCAATTCTCCTGCCTCA